TGCCGCCTTTTTATTTTATTTTATTTATGTTTTTGTTTCACACACAGCCTCCCGTGTGTTTTCCTGTCGATCCGCTGCCACATTATTTTAACAGTTCCGATCAAAACAATTCCCTTTCAGGCAGGTGTGACGTCACAGAGTAAAAGCTCAGCCTCTAATTGCATATTTGTGGAGAAGGTCCTCTGAGGAAACGCTGTAATGATGTGATGGTGATGGGGNGCGCACTTGTACCACGTCTAATTTTCCAACATGACAGGAAACTCTGTTAAGCTGATAATTGCGGCTCCAATTTCATTTAACTCACTCATGTCAACAGTTGTGTTTTGTTTTGAGGGAAGGAGTAGAAGGAGTTTCTCTTTCCTCCGACGACCTCCTTCTACTTCCGCATAATAAACAAAAACAAAAACACCCGTTTATAAATATTCACTACAGATAAAATCACGATACACGATAAATATCAGACGCTGCCTCGGGTTATTTTAATTTGAGAAGAAAAAACAAAACAAAAGAAGTGCGGCTTACACTGTGTTACCATGAAGATAACATTGTACGATATAAATAGTAAATATATATATAAATAAATTCATTCATTGTAATTAATTAATGAATTAATTAAAATTCTATCAATCAATTATCAATCAATTTTGACCAAAATAGGTGTCAAAGTTAACCGAAACCATTCTACACATCTTCAAAAAAAAGTCAAAATAAATTAAATTAATTCACGATAAATAATCGATCAACATCCATCCTCACTGCAGAGCTGGGTTAAGGCCCAGCAAGAAGATTATAAATTCATGGAATTACCAACTTAGTCGCTAAGATTTGCATTAAAATCGTATTTTCACCACTTCATGAAACTGAGAAACACGTCATGCTGTAAAATGTGTTCTTTTTTTCCGCCATTTTTGCTGTTTTGCTTTTATTTAATTGGACCAGACTTTACACCCAATGAAAAACGTCACCATTTCGACACTCGGAAAAAAAACAACAACAAAAAAAAAAAAAACAATCTCACGTTATTGTCAACGTGAAGCATGTTTTAATTATTCGCCACATATTTTGACATCAGGTCATTTTTGTTTGTTTATCTTGTGTATCTTTCGCCTCTATGACGTCATGACATGGCCCGGCTTCTCTCTTTTTCACTTTTTTGTATTTGTTTCTCCACTTTCTGCCTTCCGGCCTCCGTGTCCCTCCAGCTGCATTGTCTGTCTGGAATAATATTTACCATCAATGCTAATTATGCTAATGTTGTTGTCTTTTCCACAGTGTTTCATCGTGACGTCACAAAAGGAAAATGAAACTTATAGGAAAGAAGGGGTAAAATCCCAGCTGGAGACCAAATCTGACGGGTTTCTTCTCCCCCTTGATTTAAACAGTGTCGGCTTTGTTCCAGCAGATACAGCTGAAATAGCACTTCGGATTCAGACACAGTGAAAACCATCTGCTCCACTCAGGCAGAGTTCTTTTTTTTTTTTTTTAAACTTTTCCTCCATATTTTCAAAAGGGAAAAAATAAATAAACCCTGGAGTCGGTTTTGATGATGACATTTTTATGAAGTGTCTTCTGCTGTTTCCAGTGGATCCAGTTTTCTCTCTGGGGTCGTTCTCGAACCTTTAATGTCTTTTTTAAGGTGCAGTGTCGCACCTCGCCGCTACCAGAAGCTGCTATTTACGACAGAAAGTATAGGAATAAAGTTGTAATTTTTTTTTCCTTCCCAGAATGAAATCACACTGAGTGGGAAGCCGTGTGACTAACAGGCAGGAGAGGTTTTACAGGAGAGGAGGTGCTGAGGTCTGGGAGGAGGAGGAGGAGGAGGAGGAAGAGGAGGAGGAGGAGGAGGACACAGGACTCCAGGATGAGGGGTTTTTAAAAAGAGGGGGCCAGTATTGTGAGGGTAAATCCCTGCCCACTGAGACACGGGGGTATAAGGAGTCCTAGCTTTACCTCCGTGTATTGCGTTACTCGCTGTGGTGGCTGGTGTCGGCGGTGAACACAGAGGAGCCCGGCGCTGGCCGCGCATGGCTGAGGCGCACTCAGACTCCGAGTCCACATCTTGAAATAATCTCGCCCCCTGGGCCGCTCGGGTTAAAGGAGGAGGCGCAGCGCAATGTGGTGGAGATATTAGAGAAACCCGAGAGCCTCTCATCAGACAGCTCATTTAACTGAAGCACTGAGGTTTTTTTACTCAGACATGCAGAGTCTGAGCTGCAGTGGCCACACTGTGTGTGTGTGTGTGTGTGTCCATCAAACTGACCTCCAAACCTGCAGCAACAGACACGATCTCCAGCACACAAACATGCAGAGTTCCATCTGAAAACACAACCAAAAAAACTCGAATAAATGTAATTGCATGTAAATGGATCAGAGAGAAATCTGTGGAAAAAACAACAAACAAAAACAAAAACCAGACATGATGCCTTCAGTTAGATTTATAGTTCGGACTCACGGAGTCAATTATTCACTTTTTATTACCTTAAAACACAATACCATAGAAAAAAAGGTTTATTTAAAACAACAGGTCATTAAAAACAAACGGACTAATAAACAATATAACGAGATGAGATTTTTCGGAGATTAAAATAAAAAAATATTCTCAGAAGAATTATGAGCATGAAATCAGAATTTAAGGAAGAAATGTCTTGATCTCATAAGTAAGACTTCATTTTGATAAGAAATTTAAAATTCAATTAGATTTAAATTATTATTAAATCCAGAATTCCGACGGGAAGAGTCACAGTCAATGCCGCGGATCTTCTTTAAATGATGTCCGACTTCAATTCGATTAAACTGATCTTAGACCTTTAACATGTCTAATGTTGGAGAACACGTGTGAACAATATCAAAATGTATTTATTTAATGAGAATTATTATTGATTTGGATTTTAATTCATACTTTGATCCACACGTGACCCCTTCACCTCAGCATGTCCAACGGACGTTTATAAAATAACGAGTTAGGAAATCACATATCAAATGTCAGGGAGAAATGTTAGATTTTATGACATCTCTGAGTTCAGTGAAAACCAGACGGAGTTTTTTTTCATCCGTCCGTTCAGGATTTGATATTTAACACAGACGGAAATGGTTCCAACAGCTGATCTGGTTCTGAAACCACCCCGGAGGTCAGAGGTGAAAGATTTAGATCAAAATGATAAATATATACAGTCTCATAGAAAAGGTCTGAGAAAAACAAAATATATTTTTTAGTTTGTTTTATTTATAATAAAAACATATAACATTTACTACAATTAATAGTACTATTTATTGTGACCTGTTATAAAGGGAAAGTAGACAGTGAAGTACACAGTGAAGTACACAGTGAAGTACACAGTGAAGTACACAGTGAAGTACACAGTGAAGTACACAGTCAGGTACTGGGTCTGGACTACAGGAAGTCCAGCATCAACTTGGATGACAAAGACACAGAAACAGAGTGTAACCAGGTGTAGGACTAGTTGTACTGACCTTTACCTTCAGAGGTTTTTCTGGACTGACGTCATTTTTTTCAGAGCCAATAATATCAATAATCATTGAAACTGTGAAACGTCCGTTCAGTTTCTAACACATCTGTGAGCCCTTGACCACACTAAGGCCTCAACCCACCATTTGAGAAACGCAGATTTAAAAGCCTGACCATAAATAATAATAATAATAATAATAAACTATTTTGTGTTTATACCTTAATTTAAAACATTTATTTTCTCTTTAATTTTTTTTTAGATTACACTTTTTAAAGCAGGTTTGACGCACACACAAAAACTCTTTTTTTTTATGAAGTAAAGCAGTAAAGGATCCCAATGAAAAGGTCAAAAGGTCCATGTGTCAGGCTCAAACATTATTTTGATGTGTGTGTGTGTGTGTGTGTGTGTGTGTGTGTCGTCTCCGTTGACAGCCTGAAACCGACTTTTAGTTTCAGACTTTTTCTGTGCAGAGAAAAAGCAGAAACGTGATCCATACGGTTGAAACCAACAACTGGTCCACGAAGGACCAGTGTCGCAGAGAACTCATTTACTAATGGATTGGTTTAAGGTTTCAGTCCACAGAAAAGCCTGGAGCCACTGCGGTGCCTTCACGGTCTAATCCCTGAAATATACATGTACGAGAGCGGAGAGAAAAAAAGAAAAAAGAAGCACGAAACACACGGGACGTAGTCGTTAATAAGATGGATTACAGATTAAATAACGTCGTAGACTATTTCAAATGTTGTTTGAGGTCAATAGTGACATCGGTTCGTCAAAATCACCGGTGTTTCTTTCTGCTGCTCTGCGGCATAAACCGTCGCTCAGTTCCAGGTTCCTGCTGTAATGCTGTAATGGCGGTGCAGTCGAGGCCCCGCAGGCAGGGACCCAACTGTCATGCGCGTGTACTTATTAAATTATTATCACCTCATAAAGTACACGCTTTCCGTAATTAAGTGGGTTGGAAATGTAAAGGGAGGGAAATGTCTGAGTGTAATTAAGGTGGCGGTGGGCGGGGAACACAATCAGCTGTAAGTGGTAAAATGTGTGTGACAGTAAACACCTCAGCAGCAGCGGAGGGACGGCTGCAAATGTTGGCTCTGATGTTGATGGTGTGGGTTTTTTTTTTTTTAACTTAAAGTGAGTTACAGTGTTGGTTTTTGGTGATGTTTCCGGATGTGACGCCAGATAAAGTGACGTCTCCCCTCAGTTTGGACCTGTGTGTTTTCTGTGTGTTTTCGTGGCTTCACGCCTCACTGACTGTGATCACTGATAAGCTTTATGTGCGGTTTGGGCCCCTGCGTTAGGGAGCCGTGTGTGTGTTAGTGTATATTCAGAACATGTTAAGTTAAGAACACCCTCTTCTCCCCCTCTTTTTTTTTTAAAGGCTGTGTAATAATTGATTAGTGTTTAGGTGCTGCACTGCTCCCTGTGCTGGAGCAGGAGGGGGGGCAGAGAGTGGGGGCGGGAGGTGCACAGAGGCGCTCCTATTTCAGCTCCTGACGCACTGCCTCTGGGGAGGAAACGGAGCCGCAAACTCAGTCCTGCTCTGCTGTACAGGGCGCAGGGCGGACCAGGAGCCAATCACCGAAACGCACGGGCTCCCTTTAAGCCTGACATATCTCCAAGCAGGAACAAATTGTCCCAACAATCAACATCCCAATCTGCTGTGCGCATCAGGGGCTGGAGTGAAGCGAGGACGGGCCTGCGCGCGGAAGGATTGCGCTGGATTGTAAACACAGCAACAGATAAATAATAAAAGAAAACAACAAAAAGAAGAAGAAGAGCTTTCCCTGTGGATACGGACGGTTCTGGGCGGAGGACACCATGTCTATACTGCCGTCCTTCGGTTTTACGCAGGAGCAAGTGGCGTGCGTTTGCGAGGTACTGCAGCAGGGAGGCAACCTGGAGCGGCTCGGCCGCTTCCTGTGGTCGCTGCCCGCCTGCGACCACCTCCACAAGAACGAGAGCGTCCTCAAGGCTAAGGCGGTGGTGGCCTTCCACCGGGGGAACTTCAGGGAGCTCTACAAGATCCTGGAGAGCCACCAGTTCTCGCCGCACAACCACCCGAAGCTGCAGCAGCTGTGGCTGAAGGCGCACTACGTGGAGGCGGAGAAGCTGCGCGGGCGGCCGGCCGG